GTTCTTCTTTTGTCTTTTCTGTTTCTTTAGGCTTAACGTGTTCAGCCTTTTTTTCTTTTTTTACACTGTCACTTTTTTTGTCCTCTGGTATCTGTGACTTTTGAGGTTGTGATTTTTCTTCAGCAACTTTGGAAAGGTCTTCTTGTGTCTTTTCTGTTTCTTTTAGCTTGCCAGTTTCACCCTTTTCTATTGTCACACTTGCTAGACTACTGCTTTTGCTGTCCTCCTGTTTCTTTGACTTTTCAGGTTGCGATTGTTCTTCTGCATCCTTTGAAAGCTCCTTTTGTGTCTTTTCTTGTTCTTTAGCCCTGATACTTTCACCCTTTTCTGTTTTCATGTTGTCTACCAGTTCAACTTTGCTATCTTTTACAGACTCCTCAGGTTTATGTTCCTTTTCGTCTTTACTTGATTGAGCCTCTTGCTTTTCCCCCACAGGTTTCTCTGTTAGTTTGTTGTTATCTTCTTGGTCTTTTTTCTTAGGCTCATATTTCTTAGTTTCTTCCTTTACAGTATCAGATTTGTCTTTTTTTGCAGAAGTGTCCTCTTCAGTAGTCTGTTTTCCACTCTCTGTATGTTCGGGAGTTGCTTGTTTATCTGGTTTAGGAGTATCTTCCTCTACAGGTTGCTCTGGAGCTAATTCTTTCTCTTTCTCTGTTGATTTTGCAGTTGTAGATTGTTCAGATGAGATTTTAGCATCTTCAGTTTTTGGAGAAGTTACCCCAACAGTCTCTCCACCGGGCTTGGGTTTTACTTCAGTTGTTGCTTCAGGATCTTGCGGTTCCTGAGATGGTTTGTCTTTTGGTATAGTTTTTGATTTATCTGGCATTTCTTGCTTTTCTGACAGATCTGGTTTGGGAACATCTTTCTCTGTCTCTTCAGCTTGTTTATTTTCCTCTTCAGGTTCTTCTACTTTTCCCTGCACGTCATTCTTCAGGTCTTTGTGCTCTGTGCCTTTTGTATCTAATTCCTCATCTTTATCTTGTTCATCAGTGGCTTGTTCTGTAGAGTCCTGAGTTGGTTCAGAATCAGCATCTTTTTGTACCTCAGAATCAGCTGACTCATCTTCTTTTTCATCACTTGGTTTGACTTCAGTTTCCTCTGTCTCTAACTCAGGATTGGCTTCATTGCCGTTCTCCATGGCTGGTTCTTCAGTATCTTCCACCTCTTGTGGAGTTTCACCCTGTGCATCTTTCTCACTGCTCTCCTCATCTGGTTTGTCACCCTCTCTTCCCTCCCCACTCTTATCAGAGCCAGTGTCTGATATCTCCACATCTTCTCTGGTTGTCTCTGTAATAATCTCTTCAACAAATTTGTACTGAGGCTCTGCCTTTCGAGTTGCTCCCCCCTGCCTTTTGACACAAGGGAGAGTATAGATGGGTGACTGTCTGTAAATGTATGGTACTGAAATATGAGCATCTGAGACTGTAGAGTACCTTGACTCTTCACCGTCTAGAAGTTTTCTGAATAATAAAAAGAAAACAAACAGAATAATATTCAGATTCATTCTGCTCAATTAGTGACAGCCTGTGCATTTTAAATCTGGGCCTAATGCCGAGTTCA